CACTAATTGAAAAATGAAATGAATTCTCGAGCACAATCAGCGACTTTATGAACTGGGTATTTCTCGATGACTTCATAGTTTTTTGTCTCTGGCAATATATCCTGATCAGAAAATTTGTGGCCGAGAAAGGTCACTTCATTCAGGCAAAATGAGCTTTTCACCGGATTTAGTTTTAGGGGTTGTTTTTCTGAAAAGGTCTAAGACGTTTGTTTTTTTTTTTTAGCTTATGATTATCTGAACATCCTGTAACTATTAGGTCAATGCGGTAAATGCGATTGTCATCATACGCTGAAAAGAGTTTTGGACTATTTTCAAACTATAAGGTAATCTTGTAAAACGAGCCATTGCTCATAGAAAATTAAATTATATTTCTGGATGATTCCTCTATGTCAATTTAGTGAAATCCGGACATAAGGTCTAAACAGGCGAACACCTTTGCTCGGTTTAATTTATCGAGTACAACGTCGATTATTGGTAAAGCAAATTTATCTGCTAAAAGTTTTTTTTTATTAATTTGACGGTTATCAATTACTAAACATAGTTTCTCCTTTAAGTCGGGCAACGATTTTTATACCCTTGCAGAGGGTATTATAATTTCAGTCAGAAGTTTGCTACGCAGTGAAGGAGACGTTTCCGACCCTATAAAGTATATATATTCTTGATCAGCATCACTAGTAGAGTCGATCTAGCCATGTCCGTCTGTCCGTCCGTCTGTCCGTCCGTCTGTCCGTCCGTTTATATGCAAACTAGTCTTTCAGTTTTAAAGCTATCTGCATGAAACTTTCCCAAAAGTTGTCTTTCTATTGCAGGTAGTATATAAGTCGGAACGAGCCGGATCGGACGACTATAGCATATAGCTCCCATAGGAACAATCAGAAAAATAATTTAAAAAAAATTATAACTTTGCTGTTTTTTAATTTTTTGTTTAGTTCTTCGACATATAGCAATGGTTAAATATTTCAGAATTATGGTTTAAATTTCATCAAAATCGGACGACTATAGCATATAGCTCCCATAGGAACAATCGGAAAAATAATTGAAAAAAAATTATAAATTTCTTGTTTTTTAAATTTTTTTTTTGTTCTTCGACATAAAGCAATGGTTAAATATTTCAGAATTATGGTTAAAATTTCATCAAAATCGGACGACTATAGCATATAGCTCCCATAGGAACAATCGGAAAAATAATTGAAAAAAATTATAACTTTGCTGTTTTTTAAATATTTTTTTTAGTTCTTCGACATATAGCAATGGTTAAATATTTCAGAATTATGGTTTAAATTTCATCAAAATCGGACGACTATATCATATAGCTCCCATACAAATAATAAAAATATATAAAAGAACAATCAAATAATTAAGCTGGAAATCGTCATAGCTTCAATGTTTTGAAACATATACGCAAGTAAATCATAATTTTAATGTTTTCAAAAATATTTAATTCTTGCGATAGCTGCAAGGGTATATGAACTTCGGCTTGCCGAAGTTTGCTTTTTTTCTTGTTTTTTTATAAGTTTGTCAATTTCCTTAGTTATTTTCTTTTTATGGGCTTTTTTAAAACCACATCAAGCCATTATTCATTCTTAACTTTAGCTTGTAAAATTATTTGTAGACATCGATTCGGTTTTAAGACCAAACTGACACTTCATTTTAAAAATAGATAATAATAATTTTCATTTAGCTTAACAATGTCTTTGTTGTTTCTATGTGAGTCATTAATGTTGTCAATATTATAGTTTTCAATAGACCCAAGCACGCGATCTTGAACGCAGAAGAGCTGAGGACAGTACTGGTCGGAATAGAGACCGTCATGAACTCAAGGCCGCTCGGAGCGATGCGTAGTGACCCAAGCGACGGAGACGCAATAACTCCCGGGCTGCTTGCGGCGATGACGGCTTGTCTCGTCAGCCAGGAATATGTTTTGGTGGCGATGGGACCGGGGGTGTGTTCTTGGGAAGGGCACTTTGTCGTCGTGGCGGAGGACAACCTGCCACCTCAACAGTGGCTTCTAAGGCGGAACATTGCGACGCACGCAGGGAGGACGGCATGGTCAGGGACGACCCAGACGTTAGGCCAAATGGGAGAATTATTCAACGGGCCATCCAAAAGCTGGCGCCGCTACCAGTGGCTTGAAGCATTTCATTTGAGTTGTTTTGATTTTAAATTGAAGTTTTTTTCAAGTATTTGTTGAAGTCACATAATTTGAAGTTTATTGTAAGTTAGTTTAGGGCGAGCTCTCCCTTTTTGCGAATTCGCAAGTCTTTGTTAAGCTAGGCGCTAAGTATTCATTTATGTAATTAATATGTCACTCGTAGTGGCACGTAGTTCTTTTTTCGTTTCGTTTGCCCAAATGTAAGTTCGATTTTTGGTGTGTTTATTTAGACAAAATATTTAAATTTTTCACCTTTGATTATAATGATTAATCAGCAGCACCATGCAGACTCCTAAAACCAAACTGCTGATCAGGGATTGCGTCATGGAAAGGATCAGAGCTTAAAACTCTTTTAAGGAGAAAGCGCTCGAGAAGGTCGGGGGGAGAGACCTTTTAAAAGATCAAAAGGAAATTAGCGTACATTCACTGCTTCGGATAACATAAAAGAATAATCACAGCATTGAAGATGAGCGTAAGAAGGGAAATAGCATCCACTGGAAGCGCTTTTGCTACTTTCCCGTCAATATTGTCATGCCCAGAGGCCTTATTTTACTTTAGTCGCTTAATTTTGAGTTTAAAAAAAATTCGTTATCATCGTCCTTGTTAATCCATGTACCATCAGAACAGAGAAAGGACAGCTTTTTAAATTCAAAGACACGATCAGCATCTGGATCAATCGCATTAAGTTTCCGGAGGAAAAAGTCCGACTTGACCTCGTTAAGTGCTTTCCTCAGTAGAGAATCTGCCCTTTTAAAAACACATTAATCTTGTGCTTGACGCGAACGCATCCAACGTTGCCCAAGTGCTCGCTTTTGCCTCACCAGAGCCAATACTCCTGAACCTATAAGGGCATTTAACTGTGGAATAGTAGGATGAATTCTGTTAGCAGATGAGGCGTCAGCGGCAGACTTGATCTTGACGGTAAGGTCATTACCGGCAGCATCAACACCCTGCGGGCACTCAGATCAGTGGCGCATGAAAGCATTTCAAACAAAATGTGATCAGAACTAAGTTCACCCGAATCATGAACAGTCAACAAATTTTGTGAAATACCCTTGCAGGCAGCAAAATCAATTGCACTTGGGTTCCCCCTGGCATCAGATGGATAGTGTGTAGGTCCTCCAGTAGCTAGAACTTGTAAACTAGAAAACGTTAGATGGTCAAGCAGTTCAACACCTCTTGGAGACGAGCAACTGCAGCCCCAAAATTGAGAAGGTAGAAGCCAAAACCAAATTACCTAATTCTGTTCTAACGACCTTTCTTCGTGCTTCTCGCTCGTTACGTAATTGTGCGGCAAGCTTAGAGATTCCGGTGGTTCATCCCATCAAATTTGTAATACGTGATTGCCCGCAACAGGGAGGAGGAGGAAAACACAAAATTCAAAAAGTATTCTTCACGTCTTTAATATTTAATTTTATAACTTTATCCCTACGACCCCGTCCCTTTTTAGTTGCGTCCTTCCCTTGGTCCTTGCGGCGACTTCCGGCCTGGTTCAACGCCAGGTTCAACGCCTGGTTCAACACCTGCCTCAACTCCTGGTTCAACACCTGGTTCAGGATTCTATGTCCTCGAAAACCAACACATCCTGTTTGCGTCCTTGTTGGCTTGATCACTTGTTACTTCATTCGTTCCCATGTACGAACTCGGGTACCCGTCCTGACTTTCTGTCTTGAGCCGTGATTGTGTCTCCCTTATATAGCCTGGAGATGTCCTGTTATCCTCTTCCTTTGGGTTACATTACCGGGTCCAACTGCATCGCCGTTCCGTTGATTATCGATGCGATTTCTTTTTGGTAGGTCCGAAATCCATTTTTTTTTTGACCCTGGTGCCTTTGGCCGGCCACCTGCAACGGTATTCTGAGTTTTTTTTCTTTTTAGCTTAAACAAGAAAGAGTTCCCCGACCATAAGATTGCCGTTACTCAGCCAACAAACTTCAACCTAAGTATTTCCCCATCAAAACAATCGAAGTTTAGGTGGCGCCATCTGTCGAACTGCATAGTCAACACTAAGATAAGAGCGTGGAGCACCGCCACTCTTTCTCTCTCTCTCATCTGCTCGCAGCGGCAGAACAGCGGCCGATCAGTGGCTAAACAGTGGCATAATAACTCCTTAACTAAAAGCTCGATTTTAAAAATGTTTGGGTCACCGATAGATATGACCGAAACACACAAACTGCATGTCTCAAAATGACAGTACACACTTTCACACTTTCGCGTTAGAGTGGCCGAGGCTCCGTTTTGAAGTAAACTTGAACTGCTTAGGAACTACAAGATCAGCATACCAAGTCCCAAATCTCTAGCTTTTATAGTTTTAGAGATCTCGACGCTCATACAGACGGACAGGCGGACAGACGGACAGGCAGACGGACATGGCTAGATCGACTCGGTTATTGATCCTGATCACCCAAAATAATACAATTTCTCAGACAGAGGAAATGAGTAAGCATTGATTGCACAACAAACAGCAAAGCAATGCCCTCAATAATAGAATTTCCCAAACCGAAGAAGAGAGCATTAATTGCACAACTAACAGCAAAGCAATGCTCTCAATAAAGTTCTAACGAACTTAGCTTGCACCTTTTGGTCAGCGATCGTGGGAATGCAGAACAGCCAATTTCCAAAGTTGATCGAACTCAACTTAGTGCATACAACAAAAACTATAATTAAAATGCACTGGCCAATTACAATTAAGTTTGGCCAACGGCGACGGCGACCAAGAGCAGCAACCAATAATATGAAAGAACGTCAGCAGAAACATCAACAGCGGCAGAGACTGCGGCAGCGATGGAGCGACGCGTAGCTATAAAAACAATTGTTTAACCTGTATGAATGTCAGGTAGGTGGGCCAAGTTTTTTTCCACTTCTTGTAACAACCCCGTATACTCTTCCCCAGCAAACTCAGTGGTCTCGAAGCCGAGTAACTCTGACTGGTCCAGTGTTAGCTCTTCAACACAACGCGAAAGTATATCTGCCACGACGTTCTCGCTTCCTTTCCTGTGTTCGATGTTGAAGTGATATCCCTGGAGTTGCAATGACCACCGAGCCAGCCGACCCGAAAGGTCTTTTATGGACATAAGCCACTTCAAGCTGGCATGATCCGTGATGCACGTAAACGGCATTCCTGCCACATACGGCCGGAACTTTCCAATGGCCAGCAGGGCTGCGAGGCACTCTTTTTGGGTGACGGTGTAGTGCACTTGGTGACAATTCATCTTGGCCGAGAAGAACTCTATGGGTTGCTCCTGGCCGTCTTCATCCCGCTGGAACAACACTGCACCGACTCCGATCTGGGATGCATCGCACTGGATGAAAAAGTGCCGCTTGACCAAAACTGTGCCAGCTGTGCTTCTGGACTCAAGAAAAACTTCTTATTTCCCGTCTTCTTCAAGGATTCCTTGAGCGGAGCTTCCAACGTCGCGACGTTCTTTATAAACCGACGGTACCAAACAGCGGTTCCAAGAAAGGCTCTCACTTCCTTCATGGTCCTTGGCTCAGGCATCCGCCTAATAGCTGCTACACGCCCTGGATCCATCCGCAAACGTCCTCCACCCACTATGAAGCCGAGGTAGGTCAAAGACTTGAAGCAAAACTTTGACTTGCTGAGACCTATGGTTAACCCTGCTTCTTTCAGGCATTCAGCGACTCGGCGAAGATACTTCATGGGCGTTCTCATGTCTGGCGCTAGTATTAGCAGGTCATCCAAGTAGACAACTACATTCGAGCGGATCTTAGCTGGAATTACTCGGTCCATGAGTCTCACCAGCCTCTGTGATGCGTTACAGTGTCCGAAAGGCCTCACGTGGTAAAGAGGCCGACCAGGAATCGTAAAGCCTTTGTATTCTTTGCTGCTCGTGTCCAACTCAATCTGGCAAAAAGCGAACTTCAAATCCACTCTGGAAATTTAGTACATTTGGTCGATTCTGGACAGGATGCCGTCTATGCTGGGCAACGGGTAAGCATCTTTGATGGTCACCTCATTAAGCTTACGTGCGTCTAAGCAGAACCGGTGTTTACCAGACCTTGACACCACGGTGGTGCGGTTGTTCCAGGGGCTTTTGATTTCCTCGATGACTCCGAGCGCTAGCATCTTGTCGACCTCGTCCTCGACCACCTTCTGCTTCGCGGGAGACATCGGATAGGGTCGATCCTTGAAAACATCAGCTCAATAGTGTGCTTCTCCAGACTGGTGGTACCTAAGCCATCCCTCTCGAAAGTCAAGAACTGCTGCTTGATCTCCTCTAGCTCTTGTTCCTCGGCTTCGGAAAGCGTCCAGGACTCGGGATCGGCTATTTCCTCATCGTCATCCTCGACCTCAGCGTAGTGCTCCATCCTTCGGGATCGATGTGGCCTATAATTGCTGGGGCCAGTCCGAATGCTTGCCAAAAATCCACACCAAAATAGCTGGCTGCTCCAGGTTAGGACATAAATAGAAGAGAATGTGCTCTGTCCGTCCTCGGTATTCCACCGGTAGCTTGACCCGTCCTATAATTGACCGATCCTCTCCAGACGCCGTTCGGACTGCTGATAAGTACTTCTGAACGGGCACATCCAATGCCTCAACCAGCTCTCTGCCACCTTTACGAAGCAGACTAACTCTCGCTCCAGTGTCCAACAACCCCGTCAGTTGCTTCGTTAGGACTTGGCCTGCAGTGAATGGTCTGGGATCGCGCTGTAATTCTCTCGGCACTTAGCTCCCTTACACTGTGTGCGATCGTTGATTTTTTATTACATTATTTAACAAATAAATAATTTAATAAAAATAAATATTAAACACCTCTTCGATACCAACAAAATAAATACAAATAAACGCAATGGCATCTAAGGATATCGAAGAGCTTAAACACCAACAAGATGCTTGCATGAAAAGTATTAACCGAACTTGTGGGAACCGGCATCAAGGAGCTAAGCCAGCGATGACGGTTGTAGGAGAGCGAGGCTCTCTCTCTCTTCCTAGACCTTGGATCACTGTTCTCAACATAATTAGTTTAGTTCGATTTTGGCACTCGCCGCGGAAGGAGAGTGAAAATAAAGAACATTTATAAAAGACAATCTAACGTGATTTATTGAGTTGTTACATTGGCGACGAGGTGAAATGTATGGAAAACGAAGCTAAAATCGTTAGAGTAAACCATTAACCATAAAACCAAGCAATACAAAAAGGCGTATTTGTAAAATGTGAACAAATTTATCTCGCAGGAACCCGTTAGTTTTTTTTTTTATCTCTCTTTCATTCATCTCGTTCGTCGTTGTCATTCGTTCGAGTGCGAGTAAACGGTATGTCCAGAAAAAAAAATTATAATAAGAGAGGAAACTTTAAGAGTAATTGCATTTAAGAGTATGAGAAGTTGTGATCAGATAAAAGCAAAGAGCTTTAAAAAAAAAAAAAAAAAAAAATGTAGAACAAGTTCTGACAAAGGTCAGAGGCAAAGTACCGAAAAAAAAAATTGAAAATTAAATAATAACTGAAACATTATCTGGCAGTGGTCAGAGGCAGAGTGCCGATGAAAATTTGAAAAAAATTGAAAATTAAATAATAACTGAAACATTATCTGACAGTGGTCAGAGGCAGAGTGCCGATGAAAATTTGAAATTTAAATAATAAATGAGGCATTATCTGACAGTGGTCAGGGGCGGAATGCCGAATAAAACTATAAAAAAAAGCTAAATTGTAGCATGAGTCAAGAGGTTGACCAAGTTTGGAAGGAAAATTGCTCGACAGAAGCATTGTTAATATAAAAAAATAAAATTAAAAAAATATATATATATATATACAAATTTGGTTCAGGTGCAGAATTAATTCGTAATGGCTGAGAGCATCATAAAACCTTTTCTTTGCGAAAATCTGGAAAAGTCCGTGCTCCGAAGGGAATGGGAGAACTGGCTTCGAGCCTTCAAAATATACCTGGAGGTTGAAGACGTTCAATCGGTTACCAAGAGGAGGACAAAGCTGCTACACTTGGGTGGCACGCAATTACAGACGGTTGCATACGCACTTCCGGGTGCTATAGTCGAGTTCAACGAGGAGGTGAAAAATGACGTATTTTCGATATTGGTCGAAAAACTAACAACATACTTTTCACCTAAACAAAATTCGACATTCGAGAGACACCTTTTCAGGAAAATATCTCCTGAAGAGGGCGAAGCTTTTGGGAAATTCATTTTACGACTTCGCCAGCAGATCCAAAAATGTAGTTTTGGTTCTACGAAAACTGAGGTGGAAGAAATATGTTTGAAGGACAAAATTATTGGTAAGTGGGCTAGTCCGGAACTAAAAAAGAAACTTCTTGAGAAGGAACATACCTTATGCGAAATCATTGAAGCATGCCAGGTCGACGAAGAAATTAATAAGCAATCACAGTCAATGCTATCGAAGCCGTTTTCAGACACAATTAATAAAATTTCCAATTGGAAATCGCGGCCAACCAGTCAAAATGATTGTGGAAAATGTGGGCGGTCAGGTCATAAGGAGGATAGTCCTACATGCCCAGCGCGACAGACTAAATGTAATCGATGTTCCCGACTGGGTCATTTTGCCCGGAAATCCCGAACTGTTTTAAAACGTCCATACCCACCGTCGTATGAAGGAAAGAACGTGGAAAGTTTCAAAAGAAGAAACGTACGGTGGGTTAAAGACGGCAACCAAGAGGGAAAGGAAATTAATCGAGAAAACTGTTTTAAAATAAACACTGACGAGGAATATGAAGAATGGATTAAATGTAGAATTGGTGGTGAAGACGTTGCCATGATAATCGATTCCGGATCCCGTTTAAATCTCCAGGCGAAAAAGGCGACTGTTTTCAATGTGCGTACAGATGCATACAACCAATTTAAAGGATACGCTTCGGACACAATTTTAAATGTCATTTGTGTTTTTGAGGCACCAATAGCGGTCAAGTCAAGCTCGGAGTTGATTGCATCCTTTTTTGTAATTGAGAAAGGACGACAATCGCTACTTGGACGGGAAACAGCAACTAAATTGAATGTTCTGCGGATGGGCTTACCAGTAAATCACATTGAATTAGTAACACCGTTCTCTAAGTGGAAAAATGTTAGCGTGAAACTGTCAATAGATCCTTATGTTGACCCGGTGAAACAGCCCATGAGACGTATTCCAGTCGCGTTGGAAGGTAAGGTCAATGCAAAGTTGGAGGAAGCGCACAAGCTGGATATAATTGAACCAGTAAATGGTCCCAGTCCGTGGATCTCACCGATAGTTGTTGCTTTTAAAGAAAACGGGGACATTCGACTGTGTTTGGATATGAGGCAGGCCAACCGAGCGATTCTTAGAGAAAATTACCCTTTGCCTACGTTTGAGTCTTTTATGACTAAGTTGAGAAACGCTAAATTATTTTCACGTTTGGATCTCAAAGACGCGTACCATCAATTGGAGCTAGAGGAATCAAGTCGACAGATTACAACTTTCATTACACCCCAAGGTTTATTCAGATATAAACGGCTGATGTTTGGCATAAATGCGGCTCCTGAAATATTTCAGCGACGACTTGAAGAACTCCTTGCATCGTGCAACAGTGTAATGAATTTTCAACTTCGGAAACGCTCGGCTTTCCTTGTTATTTGAATTTTACGAAATAAGCTTTCTACAACAAACTATTAGAACGAACATGGAACCGTGACTCGTAAACCTTTCTGGACTTGTCCCAAAACAAGCATTGCGTTAGACATCTATAGATTCGTTCCAGAGCAACATGTATAGAATGTTTACAAGAATTTAAAAAATATGTTTCCAAGGAAAGTTATCGGAAAGAGTGTAATTTTAAGAATATGCAACTTTTTGAAAGCTAAAGCTAATTGAACTCAAATATCAAATGTATGAATGTACAACGAGCTTATGTAAAACTTTTGAGCAACAAAACAAAATCTCCAAAAAGGGGAATGGAATTGTTGTTGGTTTTAGATAAAATAGCTTGATGCAGTTTGTGGGAACCGGCACCAAGGAGCTAAGCCAGCGATGACGGTTGTAGGAGAGCGAGGCTCTCTCTCTCTTCCTAGACCTTGGATCACTGTTCTCAACATAATTAGTTTAGTTTGATTTTGGCACTCGCCGCGGAAGGAGAGTGAAAATAAAGAACATTTATAAAAGACAATCTAAAGTGATTTATTGAGTTGTTACATAACCTAAGTAAGTTAGTTCTAAATCCAACTCAATAAAGAAAAGATTGATTTTTTTTAGCAAAATTATAATCAATCTTTTAACTGGCGCCCGAACAGGGACCTGATTAAAACCGCGAAAGGATAACAAGTTCCGCGTTTCGCGAAGTTCAGAAAGTAAAAAATTCTGACGTTTCGTTTCAAACCTCCGCCTAATCAGTGAGAAGTAAAAAACCAAAAATACCGAGATTCGGAAGTGCAAAAGCGCCGTTTAAAAAACGCCGCAAATTGTCACTCCTGAAAAAAAAAAAAACAGGACTTGTACCCGGTGGAATAATCAGGCCAAATTTTATCGCCGTGATCCCTTTAGTATCCGTTCGAAGGGAACGTGAATTAAGGTACAGAGAAGGCCCCTTAGTAAACTCACACTCAGGAGAGATCGTTGCAGAGTGGGATAAAACGGAATCTGCCGAGCCTGTCATCACGAGAGCACGCCGAGATATGTTACTACTGTAAGAATAGTTTTAAGCAATTTATTAACAAAAACATAAAAAATATTTAATCGAAAAATATTCAAAGAAGAAAAAGTTTTACCCAAATATAAAGTGTAGAAGACATATTTTAGTGAGTTAAAAAGAAAAAATCCAAAATATAGGGAAAATAAAAATTCCCACACAATAGTTACAAAGGTAATAAAAAATCGCACACCCTAATTCTTAGAAGACAACTTCCGAATTCTGAATAACTAAAATAAAAAAATTAAATTTAACTTTTCGCTGCTCATATATCCATACCCAAAATGACCGAACAAGATTTGGCAGACAGACTCGCGAATCTTACCGGACCCTCATCAGCCAGTTCCTCACAAATAAACACACGAATCATGACCGAGAGGGACATTGAGGAAAAAATAAAAACAATCTTAGAGACAAATCTCAGTAGCCTAGTAAAGGAAATACTTAATCCAAATAAAGATTTTTCCAAATATACAGACCAAACAATTAAAAGAGAATTAACGCACAATCTTAGTGAGTTAGATAAATTACCAGACGTTGTTCGGACACCTAGAGACTTTTCAGGAAACAAAAGTGAATATTCATCATGGAGGAAAAGTGTCGAGAGGGTGTTAAAAATCTATGAAAACAGAATTGGTTCACCAAAATATTATGGAATTCTTTTAGCAATCCGTAACAAAATTACTGGTCAAGCGGACGCAGTATTAAAATCATATAATACCCCCTTAGATTGGACAGCTATTTCAAAATGCCTAACAGCGCATTTCGCCGACAAGCGCGACTTAAAGACCTTAGAATATCAACTATATGCTCTTAACCAAGGTAACAATACTATAGATGAATATTATCAGGCAGTTTATCAACAATTATCACTAATTCTGAACCAAATTGGCAGCTTAGATGCCTCACAAGAAACTATACAATCTCTAACAGCCATGTATAGGGAAAAAGCCTTAGACACTTTTGTCAGAGGACTTAATGGAAACCTGGCACAATTGCTGGCCATTAAAGAACCACATGACTTAGGACACGCTCTACATTTATGCAGTCTGCTAGAGAATCAAAATGCTAGGAATAACCAGACACCAAAAACTCCGTATTTAGGGAGGG